GGAGGAAGCCCGTTCGCAGAGACAAGGTACGGGCAGTTTTGCTGCCGCCCCGTTCTCTTTTTGGCTGACTTCCTTGAATAAGACGCCCTTCAATTTTGAGCATAAGGATTTTAGAAAAAAGTATCGTCTTATGGTCGGAAAAATATGGTAATTAAAAGAGCTGTGCCCATTCCTTTAATTTTCATTGGTAAATTAATTTCTCTTGGGCTGCCAGTTGTGAGGGTCAGAGTCAAAGAAATCTTCCTTTCCCAGTTCAGTTTACGCAAACAGAAAATGTATAGATTCAAACAACTAAATCTAGAATTTACACAGATTCTCACCAAAAGAGATCTGTGTATGGGGAATTAGGTCATTGCACCTCTTGAAGCTCTTTCCACGCTCCACATATTTATATAGCTTCTCCCCTGTGTGGATCCTTTTATGGGAAGTAAGATGACTGCCAGTAGTAAAGCTCTTTCCACACTCCATGCATTTATATGGTTTCTCCCCTGTGTGGATCCTTTTATGGGAAGTAAGATGACTGCCAGTAGTAAAGCTCTTTCCACACTCCATGCATTTATATGGTTTCTCCCCTGTGTGGATCCTTTTATGGGAAGTAAGATGACTGCCAGTAGTAAAGCTCTTTCCACACTCCATGCATTTATATGGTTTCTCCCCTGTGTGGATCCTTTTATGGGAAGTAAGATTACTGTTTTGAGTAAGGCTCTTTCCATACTCAATACATTTATATGTCTTCTCCCCTGTGTAGATCCTTTTATGGGAAATAAGATTACTCCTAGTATGAAAGCTCTTTACACACTCCATGCAGTTATATGGCTTCTCCCCTGTGTGGATCCTTTATCCCACCTGATGCTAATACTAACGTAGCTTTGGGACTCTTGCACAACATTGTTGGAAACCAGCAGAATAAGCATCCTGACGCTGTGCATATTATAGCGGGGGACTTTAATCATGCGGATTTAAAAACAGTGCTCCCCAAATTTCATCAGCATGTTAAATGTGCCACCAGAAGAGCAAATACACTGGATAAAGTATATACCAACATTAAACATGCCTACAGGGTTATACAACTACCACACTTGGAGCACTCAGACCATATGTCACTGCTTTTAGCACCAGCATACACCCCTCTCAGGAGACAGGCTCTGCCTACAATAAAGACCGTGAAATCCTGGCCCGAAGATGCTTCTCAACAACTTCAGGACTGTTTTGAGAAGACAGATTGGGATATTTTTTACCATCCTGTGCTACATTAAATATTGCACAGACGCTGTCACTGTGAACAAATGCCTCTGGATCTATCCCAACCAGAAGCCCTGGATGACTAAGGGAGTCCAGCATCTCCTGCGTGACAGGAACAATGCCTTCAGGTCCGGTGATGGGGCAAAACACAGTGCTGCTA